TGCCAGGTCCCGGGCCCGTCCTGGCGGGACCAAAAGGTCCCCCACGGCAGCCTGACAGTTAATGCGACTTAACGGGGACGCTCGTGTGTGAAAGGACTGGAGTCGGAAGTCGGGGGATGGTGGATGGTTTCGTCTGTTAATAAAATGCGCAAACCGATTCACGTGCCGTGCCGCGCTGTGTCTTGAGGGTCTGCGGTGAGATCTCTGGGGCTTCACAGCGGAACTTTGGCTGATTGGGTGCGAGTGGGCGCGCTCAGGACAGCGGAGCTGAAAACCGACGTAGAAATCCCTGAATGCGCGAGGCTGGGGAGCACGCACCAGGCGAAGGCTCTTTGCTCGCGGCCACCTTGAAGCGCTGGGTGCCAACAGATCGGCAAACCCGCCGCCGCCGATGCGTGTGGCACCGACAGGCAGGTTAAGCACTCGATACAGTGGGTCCATGACGGACGCAGACACTGTTCCTAGTAGCGTTCGTGCGCCCGCGTGTGGCGGGGCCTCGGCTGCTCCCAGCTCCCTGGGGCCCTTTCAGCAGCCCTATCGGTGCCCAGACTGTAAGCCTTGGGGTGTCTGTGTCCTCCCCAAGCGCAGCTGTCTGGGACCAGGTCTCCAACAGCTCGGGTTCTCCTTTGGGACAGGAAAGGCGCGCCCCACCCCGCGGGTCCTGTTCCGGGGCCACACCGGCTGCCCCGAGGCACTGCTGCCTGGCGCAGGCTGAGAATCTGGTGCGAACAGGAACGCCCTGGCGCTTTGCTCTTGAACTAGCCCCCACCTGACCCCGGGCTCCTCCTCCCCCTCCTGGAGTCCTTGAGCCAAGGCTTTTCACATGAAGTCAGTTCAGTGTTTCAGGAGAGGCAGGTCCCTCTCCAAGGTGTGCCCATCTCACAGCGTTGAGTGCAGGACACTGGACGAGGGCGTGTTTTTAGCCAGGCGGGCACCCACTGCGGAAAGGCACCTGCCTAGACTGGAAGGACTGAGGCCGGGTGGGGATGGGGCCGGCTCTGTGCTGGCCGGGCCGGGCCGACTTCGCTGGCCGTGAACTGGCAACCGGTTCCAGGTGGTGGAAGTGGAGTCGGACAGACAGCGAAGCCCAGGCAGGTGCAGGGTGGGCAGGGCTTGGTCCTGGGCTTTGTCTCCGGGTGTTTGCAGAACCCAGGGTGGGGCGGGGTGCCGAGCCCAAGGCTCCAGGGTCATTGCACAGAGCAGCTGCCTTGACCAACCGCTCAGTCCCCAGAGAAGTGCCTGGAGCAGAGGTTAGCGTGGGCGCTGCTGCTCCACCTCCCCCTGCAGCCCCTGCGGATGATGGCCCTGCGGCTCCTGCTCCAGCTCGCCTTGCTGGGACTTGGCACTACGAGGCCCTTGGTCCGGGGCCGCAGCTTCGGCGCACCAGCGGTTGGTAGGTGAAAGCCGTAAGGTCATGAGCTTTGGGATTTGGGCCCCAACGCACCCAGGTGACCTCAACCTCCATCCCTCAGCCTGGCCATCTTTCTTCGACCTCAACTCACCCCTGGGAGTTCATGAAACCACCCAGATTCCCAGCAACGGGAGCGCACCCCTGCGCGTGGACGTGCAGGTGTTTGTGACAAACGTGTTCAACGTGGTGAGTGTCCTCCCGGCCAGGAGGGGCGGGACCCCAGTGCTGAGCGGGAAGGGATGGGACCACGTCCCTGGAGTGCTGTGGTCTCCTGCCCTCTTGTGTCACGTAGCAGCCAACCCTCAGGTGACGTGCTGCCCCTCCCCAGGACATCCTTCGGTACACAGTGTCCTCCATGCTGCTGCTCCGGCTGGTGAGAGCCCCCTGGGGGGGTGGGGCAGAGCCCCCTCTGAGTCCAGCTCAGAAGTACCGTCTTCATCAACCTGCTGAGCGGCACGTACACACAGAACCTTAGTGGGGTCCTTGTGTCCCCAGTCCTGGCTGGACACGCGCCTGGCCTGGAACGCGAGTGTGCACCCACGGCGCGCACTTACACTGCCCTGGGACTCACTGTGGACACCGGAACTCACTATCCAGGAGGCGTGAGTTCTCGTCCCAGGAGCCACTGCACGTCCCTCTGTCTCCCCCTAGGCCCTTAGTGAATGCCCTCTCCCGGTGGCCCTGGCAGAGCACTGGCGCGCCTCACCTCCACTGCCCCGTGTTCCCCCTCCCTCTGGGAACCCTGAGGGCAGGGGATGGCAGCTGGGCATATGCCCGTCTCCCCCTTCAGAGGGGGCTGGGCCTCTGGCTGTGGTGTCCTTCCCCGCAGGCTCTGGGTGGACTGGCAGGACCAGACCCCACAGGCCCAAGTGGACCAAGATGGCCGCGTCGAGCTCTACCTGGCCCTCACCACGGAGACCAACTGTGACTTCGAGCTCCTCCACTTCCCCAGGGACCAGAGCAACTGCACCTTCAGCTTCTACGCCCTCAGCAACACGGGTGCTGACCAGCCGGGCGGGATGGATAGCGGGCTGTGTGCACACCCATCTGCCCCGGGCTCAGGGAGCTGGACCGACCCAGGAGCAGAGCGTGCTCCTCACCCTGCACCTCCCACTCAGACAGCAGCCCGGCCCCCCTTCAGTCTCCTCCCCTCCGCCTCGGCTAGTAAAGCAATTGCCCTCAACAGCCCGGCCAAATGCAGCGGCTAGGCCACTGGTGTCCGCTCAGGTTGCTGCGGCCTCACCCCTGGAGACATCCTGAAGGTGTAGCCACCCAGGCAATACCGACACACCCGCCGGGTGGTGTCCAGCTTGGCAGAAGGCCCACCCTTCCCTTACACCCGTCCCCTCTGGGAAATGCCACAGCGGCCGCCCAGGAGCCCTAGTATTTCAGGTGTGAGATGAGACACTGGTGGATGAGTCCACAACGGCGCCCCCTCCATGCAGTGGTGTAAAGTGCATTTATTTTTACAATGGAAATCCGTCTGAGTCTGAAAAAGCCCTTCCTCTAACTGGAGAAGACTTGTGGGGGAGGGGCGGCGGGGGAAATGAGGTTGGGAAAGCCCTTGCATGGGCCACTGTCACCGCCAAGTCTGCCCAGCAGCCACCAGAAGTCTCCATCACCCCTGGGCACTAGCTTGCCCCTGCCCCTGCCCCCAGGAGATGGGGGGGGGGCAGTGGTATTTCTCAGCTCACGGCTCTCTCCCACCCTCCCCCAGTGATGGAGCTGGAGTTCCAGGCCCACGTGGTGAACGAGATCGTGAGTGTCAAGAGGGAGTATGTGGTTCGGGATTTGAAAACCCAGGTCCCGCCCCAGCAGCTGGTGCCCTGCTTTCAGGTGAAGGTGAGTGGGCAGGTGGCCGACGAGGGCGGCAGGGGCATCAAGGATGCGGAGCCAGAGGCATGACAGCCTTCTGTTGCCCACCCCTGCACACGCCCCCAGAAAGCCCCAACCCTTTCCCTTCCAGCTGCACCTACAGAACACAGCACTGAAGGCCATCCTGGCTCTGTTGGTGCCCGGGGAGGCGCTGCTGTTGGCTGACATGTGCGGGGGGCTGCTGCCCCTCCAGGCCCCGGAGCGCATGGCCTACAAGGTGACCCTGCTGCTGGGCTACCTCGTCTTCCACTCCTCCCTGGTGCAGGTCCTGCCCAGCTCCTCCTCCTGCAACCCACTGCTCAGTAAGCCCTGTGCCCTCCCCTGGCCCCGGGCAGGACCACACTGCCCAGCCCTTCCCCTCTGCTCAGCTCCCGGGGCCCTGGAGGCACAGGCCTGGCCCCTGACTCGGCCCCGCCCCTCCCCAGTTCACTACTTCACCATCCAGCTGCTGCTGCTCTTCGTCAGCACCGTGGAGACTGTGCTGTTGGCGGGGCTGCTGGCCCGGGACCACCTCAGGGCCAAGCGCAGCCCTGGCCCAGCCCCGAGAGGGGAGCAGCAAGCTCATGAGGAGGCAGGGCCGAGTCCTAAAGGTGGGTGAGGAAGGAGGCTGGGAGCAGGTTGGATGGGCGGAGCTGGCAAGCTGCACCCCTGGGGGTGGGGTGAGGGGTCGCTGGGCTAGAGGGCCCTGGCACTCACTCTGCTGGCCGGTCCCTGAGCTTTACCACGTCGGCCCTGGGAGCAGCAGGTCTGAGCAGGGAGCGAGGTGAGCTTCCCTGAGGCCTGGTGACTGCGCTCCGCGAGGAGACCCTGTGCCTTGGGAGCCTCTCTACAAGGCTTTCACCTCCAGGCGGCCTGCAGTGGGCCAGCCCACGTCCACTAGTTGGGAACCCATGGAAGGGAGAAACCTGCTGCCAGTGCCGGGGCTCCTGCTCTGGGAGAGGGGGGAGGCCTGGAGTGCAGCTCCTGCTCCTGCCTCTCCCCACAGAGGCCCCCGGAGGAGCGGGGTCACGGAGGAGCTGGGCCGAGGCTGCCGACCACACCTTCTTCCTGCTCTACGTGGCAGGGGTGGTGTGCAGCCAGTTCATCTTTATTGGACTCTGGATGTGGGCGACGTGCAAATCTGACCCAGCCCCTGGCGAGGCCGTACCCCACGGGGGGCAGCCGAGGCCGTAACAGGGCAGGGCCGGGGCTGCAGGTCTGGGGTGGGCCCTGCAGGGTCTCTGGAGACGGGGAGGGAGGCCAACTCTTCCCTAAGCCTGGAGGCCCCAGGCTCTCCCTTCTGTTTGCACGCAAGCAACGAGTGTGAAATAAACGCATCACCCAAGTGCAACAGTGCCCCCCAAGGGCCTGCTTTCATTGAGCTCGGCTGTTCTCTCTTGTCCTGTGTAGGTGGGGCCCCCACTCCACGCCTGAACTTCTCACCAGTGGCCACCAGTCACCCAGCCCCGCCCCCACACCTGCTCCTTCTGTGACTCCAGCTGCTTGGCCTGGGCCAGGATTCAGGGCCCCGAGGGTCAGGCCGCCTGGGGTGGTCAGGACTCCTGAGCTGCTGAGGTGTGCTGGACCCCAGGACTGGGGAGAGCGCCTCCTGGGGGCAGAACACCCAGCCCTCGGGATGTGGGCAATGGGGCATGTGTTGTCCGCACGGACTCCGAGCAGGTGAATCTTGCTGGGTTTTGCTCGAGGCCCCTTGCAGCCATGTGGCCTGTGCCTCTCCACCCACATGCCTGAGCCGAAGGGGGAGCGCTCCCCCAGCTGTGAACTGGGCTGGCGGGGGTGGTTCTGCCTCCTGCTCGTGCTCACAGGCAGCTTGGGCGAGGCCTTTGTCTTCCTCTGTCCTTTCCCGTCTTGAAGCCCTCACGTGGCCCCTGCAGGCTGCGGTCGGGACACAAACCCCAGGTGCGCAGGAAGCCCGGTGCAGGGCAGTGCTGTTTGGTGGGGAATGGGGGTGGGTGGGAGAGGGCGCGGGGAGAGGCACAAACCAGGACTCAAGGGCCCAGGGCCAGGGCTCGGGCCCAGGCAGTGAAGAAACGTCCCTGTCCCAAAGGACACTCCCCTGGCCCAGAGGCAAGTTAACACGGTTTATGTGTCCAACACCACGCTGCCTGGTGCCGCCAGGCAGGGAGCGCGCAGGCTCAGGCGGAGGTGTCAAAGAGGCGGTCGATCATGTCGCCCACCTGCTCCACGTGGTACTTGATGTACTTCTCAGGGTTCTTGGTGAAGGGCACGCTGCCGTACCTGCCAGGCACTGAGGTCAGCGGGGAGGCCTCCCTCCTCCCCAGCTCCGCCGCAGGGGCCTTCCCGTGGGGTGTCCCTGAGGCAGAGCACTGAGCCGGGGGTGGGGGGGGGTTGGAGGGGGGAGTGGGAAGGACTCACCTGTGCAGAAAGGCCCCGTACGTCTCCTTGACGATGTGCTTCTGAGCTTGGCGGATCTTGTCCCGCTGCTCTGTGTCGGGGATGGCCCAGGCCTTCTGGATCTTGCACAATTCTTCCAGGCCGTCATTGAAGCCCTGCCGCCAGCAAGGTGGGAAGAGAAGGGACCCGGAGACAAATGTTTGGGTGTGTGTCGCTGCAGCAGCAGCAGCAGCAGCAGCAAGCAGTGGAGGGGACGGGGTCCTGACTCACCTTAAACCGCTCCTTGATCACCTGCCGCTCCTTGTCCCGGAGCTGGGGGCCGAGACAGCTCTCTTCAGAGAGAGGCGCCTGCCCCACCCTCCCCCAGCACCCGAGCCCAGCCCGCCACAGGCATCCCCTGCTCTCACCCCACAGGGACTCCTGTCCATTTTCTCCCAGAGGCATGACAAACAGGGTGACACCTGCTAGACACCCTTCCCAGCCCAGGCCCTGTGCCCACCTTGACTCCCGGCTGGAACACAGGTAGATTCTTCTCAGTGATGTAGTCGGTCACCTTTAACCAGCTGCCAGGGAGAGAAAGCAGAGGGCCGGCTCAGGCAGCTGCTGCTTCCTGGGGCTGTTGCTTGGTTTGCTGTGTGCGTTTTATTTTTATCTCTTCATCTACTGAGCCTTACGGGGAGGGCAGGAATCCATCTGGGTCACAACTAAGCAAAACACAACTGAGGTTTCTCCTCGGGAATAGAAAGTGTTCGAGATGCTCGCTTTTAAAACTGTACAGGAAACAGCAGTCAATAAACGGAGCGAATACTAGTACTATCACCTCCGCTGCACGTCAGCCTCCCGGCAAGTGAAGACGGAGAAGCAGGGGAGGAGGGAAGGAGGCGGAGCACAGACACTGGGAAGGGAGAGGAAGACACCTCCAGGGGAAGGACAGAGGGAGACACACCCGCAGCAGAAGAGGGAGCTCTGCAGAGCGAGCTCAGCCAAGGTCAAGTGCTCGTGCAACCTGCTCTTCGCTTGGGCCAAACATTGCCCACTTTGCCGTCAGCCCTTCAACTACGCTTAGCTTCACCCTCGCAGGCAGACTGACCTCTGCCCTCTGAGGCCCTCTAGGGAGCCAGCAGTGGGGGGGGCTCCCATCGCCACCCCCTGAATTTGACATCAACACAAGAGAAGGATTGGGGTCCACAGGGCAACAGTTCCCCGTTACTGACCCCACTCCGACTGGGCCCAGTGTCCTGAGACTGAGAAGGGAGCGTAAGTGGTGGGTACAGGGGTGGGGCGAGCGGAGGGAGCCTCGCACCTGCGCTGGTAGGTCTGGATCTGCTGCTCGATGTGCTCCCGGTAGGAGCGCTCGGCAGTCTTCTGGGTCACAGCCACCAGCTGGATCAGCTCCGACCTGGGGGGCAGGTAGGGGACAGAGTAGAGGGGACGGGATTGGCTGTGGGCCTGGGCAGCAGCACCAGGAGGCCTGCCCTTCCCACCCCACCTTCACGAGCTCTAAGAAGGCAGCACACACGCCCCTGGTCCTGGGGCCGGAGGAGGGAAGCCCTGCCCTCCCACTGGGCACACGGAGGGCACGCCAGCCCCGAGCACCTACTTCTCCAGGGCCTTGAGGATGTAGTTGTAGTTGTTGTGCAGGAAGATGGCGCTCAGAGCTGGGTCCTCATACACCTTGGACTTGCTCAGCAAGTTCAGCTGCAGGTTCCCCAGGACTTTACCTGCACAGGGAACGATGTGGCCACGCCCACACGGCCGTTTGACCAAAACGACCCAATCCCGGGCCCCACAAACCAAGTCCTACCTGTCACTCCTGTCCCTCCCCGACTCCAGGCGCCACAAGCCTCAGGAGCCCTTTGCCCAGCCCCCTCCGCCCCTGAACCAGAGGTTAGGTTATTCCAAGGGTTGGGGCTCAGGAGTGGGGGGGGGGGG